AACAACACAGGTTGAGAGCATGATTTTCTGAATCTGAGGGGGGAGCACTGAGTGCAGGGAGGTGGAAGAGGGAATGGAGAATCCCCCCTGCACTCTTCAGCCAGCACAGTAACCTGCATACTTGCCGCTGGGCTTGGGGACAGAACATCTGCCCTTCAGCACAGCTGAAGAAGATCTGATCGGAGTTCCCCAAGTTACCCAGGCATTAAATACTCCACATCAAATCTGAATTTTAACTGCTCCATCAGCTGCAGAGGGACGCAGAGAGACCCACACCATATTTTAAATACATCTTTTGTCCTAATCCCTTCTGAGCTGTAAAACCAGATACAATTAAGCTTTTATATTTTGCAAATGATGAATGACTAACAGGCTTACTGTGAGATTCAGAACCTAGAACACAAGTGTTCTTGAGACAGCCCAGCTGCCGAACCTGTGGTTTTCTGCAGCTCCTCCTTGTCCAGCCCCTCCTCTCCCCTTTGCCCTCCCTGGGAATAGGGGAGTGCACCCTCACTTTTGCAAGTGCTCACAAAAAAACCCTGTTATCAATCCCCCTCCCACCTCAAAACATCACAAGTCAAAATAAATCTGATGCATCTCCTTCTCTCATCTAAAGAGGAAAGCAATTTGCTCTAACTGGAAAATCTCAGAGACCTAGGTGCTGAGAGAGCTCCCTATGGTACTATGTGGTCCAGACTCCAGATTCCCTACCACTTAGAACACACTCTTCCTTCTTTATTTGCCCATTTGAATCCACACTCCCAACAAGGCACAGCTCAAATGTCATCTCTTCCAGGAAGCACCCCCGGTCTCCCCAGCCTACAGGGAGATGTCCCTATAACTCTAGCATCTGTACTCGAGCTCTGTGCATCTACCAAAGCACTTATGTCAGTGCCTATGTCGCTCGAAGGATACATACTATTTTCCCTCACCAAATTATAAACTCTGGAGGCAGCCACCCTAGGGAAACTGAATATTTTACTTGGCATTTGTAAGTATTGCTATTGATCTTTTCATGCACATATATTTGATCAAATCTAGTTGCAGGTTCCTCTAGAATTGGCACCAAGCCTGGGACAATGGTGCGCATATCCCAATTCATTAAATATCTGGTTAATTGGTGATTAACCAATAAGAGAATTTCCTAAAGGTTAAAAGTAAATATAACTTGAATACACATATAGCTCACAATGTGTTTCTTTCTTCCTAAGTGCTTCTATTATATTCAATGAGAAAGGTAAATGGTAGAGGAAAAAGAAGAGGAGGGAGAGGGGGCAAAGACATTAACCAGGACTGACAGATAAATCATAGTACTTCCATTAAAGAGAAGGAAATTGGGGGTAAGCACCTGTGATGGTTAATACTGAGTGTCAACTTGATTGGACTGAAGGATGCAAAGTACTGTTCCTGGGTGTATCTGTGAGGGTGTTACCAAAGGAGATTAACATCTGAGTCTGTGGACTGGGAGAATCTCAATCTTGGTAGGCACTATCTAAGCAGTTGCCAGCATGGCTGGATAATGCAGGCAGAAGAACGTGGAAGGACATGACTTGCTGAGTCTTCGAGCCTTCACCTTTCTCCAGTGCTGGATGCTTCCTGCCCTTGAACATCGGACTCCAAGTTCTCAGCTTTTGGACTCTTGGACTTACACCAGTGATTTGCCGGGAGCTCTTGGGCCTTCGGGCCCAGACTAAAGGCTACACTGAGAATCTCTTGGCTTGAGATACTGATAGAGATAACTTTCAGGGTGGCAGAAACTTCTGCCCCCACTGCCTCTTTTGCTCCCCTTCCTGTTCTCTTGGGAAACAATCCCAAATTTCACCCCTACAGCCTGCTCCCATATCTTTTCATAGAATGACTCTCCTAGCTTCTGAGAAAACTCCAAGCTCTCCCAGTCCCACTCTGCAAGGGGACATTTTGCCAGCACAGAGATAAAGCAAATTTACTTCTTTCCATGCTTTAAGATGTTATTGGCTGCATATTGTTTTAGTGCAGCGCATAATTACAGAAACTGCTCTGAAAATCTGTATATTTTATCTGTGCTTTATGATACTCAGACTATTCCCCAATTCTTTTTCTTCTCCATGAACCAGCTTAAAATATATTTTGGCGTCCTTTATGTCATTTTGAAATTGAATAGCCAATTCTTGCTGTAATGAAAATACTTATGTGCCAGCCCGGTGATATACAACACTACCCTCTAATTACGGCTGTGCTTTAATTAACCTGAATTGAAGAGTGTTATCATTAAACTGCTGGTAACTTTGAGTTATGGCTTTTCTTTAATTTAAAGTAGAAAACACAGATAATTAAGCCTCCAGATAATCAAATGCTTGAGGAGAGCTTCAATGTTTTGGGATGTTCCTAAATCTCATTAAATGTCCTTCCTTTATTGATCATTCCTACCTCTGCTGTATCATTGTATTAAACGAATAATAGCACTAAGTCGTACACATTCTCACTCACATCAGAAGTGGGAGATATATATATACATATGTCAGAAGCTTTACTGAGAAAATACTAAATTCTCTGACAACAATCTGTCTCCTCCTTGGGACGTGTTCTAAATCTGAAAATCAATCAAAGGAAATATTCATAGAGCTACTAGTGCCAGCTCTTGAGCTGGCTGAAGGCCAGTGAAGTTCCACACCATCCAGTGGGTCAGGGTTGGCAAACTCATAGATCCACAGGGCCAGGCCTGGGATTTATGTGCAAATCTGGCCTGCTTTAAGACATCAGGGAGGAGTGACTATATGACTATACTAACTGCTTTGCTACATCAAACTGGAGCCAGTTAGCATTCAGAGGAAATGCAGGTCTTGCATTGTCACATTAGATTTTCTAAAGAAGCCAGAAATCTAGTTTTTATGTGAAATATCACTATTTTGAAATATCAGCAACTAGTTGTTATGAAATTAGACACTATGTTAGGCAATTATGTGAGTCGAACGTACCTTGTGATTATCCGGGTTAGAACCTGTAGTGGGAGCAGTCCTAACCCTGCAAGTTAACACGTGTAAGAGGAACCAACTCAGTTCCCAAGAGCAGAATAAGAGAAGAGTGAGAAAGCAAGAAGGGCTGGGAGAGTTTGGAGATAGCATGCCTGTTAGACACAAACACCAGTCAGGGCAGGGAAACCACACAGCCAAGGAAGGGGGCTTCACGGCACCCCTGCAGACGCCCTCACCAGCATGACTCCCTGCAGGCACTAGCACCTCTGCTATGTGCTCAGACCACCACCACATCAGACAGACAAGGCTTCACTTGCTTCCGTTGAAAAGCCTGCTTTCCCATGGGGCTTTCTACCCTAGGCAGTCCAAGCTCCAAGGAAGAGGAGATCCCCTGGGACAGCCTCAGTGTTCCAGAACCCAGTGTTTCTGAATGGTTAACTCCTCTCGGTGGCAGAAAGAGAAATCACTCTCAAAGAAAGGCTCACATGGGAGTCACAATAGGGCATCCATTTTCAGAAAATAACTCCTTCCGAATCAATTACCTATTCACTTTTCCAGTCCATTTAGCATTTAAACTTTCGCTTAGAGACAGGTTAAGAAATTTCAGTAAACAGCCAAACCATTTTGGATTGCTTAGGGTCTGGGCCCAGGGACTGACAGAGTGCACCTGCTGTGTTCAGTGACAGGAGGCTCCAGGTAAACCGGAAGCCACCAAATGGTCTGCTTCCCTCCCTCCTGCATACAGAAAGAAAGCCGTGATACAGAGGAGGCCAAGGGCACCCAGGACTGTCCTCTCCTTTGTGGCAAAGCTTGATCAGTTTTCTTTCGATGTCTTCAGACCTCTTTCAGGAAGGTGCTTTGGTTTGTAAGTAGGCAGGAAGTGCAAGCAAATGGTTTTTCTTCCTCAGCCCAATGAGCTCCCAGATCCCCCTGATTCTTCCAGTGAGAAGCATCCTTGTCAAATCCTTTGTGAAGGTGTCAAGAGATCAGGCTTAATGTTTCACCATTCTCAGGGAATTTGTGTTTTTAGAGGGCACAAAGCCCCCATTCATCTTAAACTCAACATCTGAGATTCCTTTTTTTTTAATTTTAGAGACACAGTCTCACCGTTGCCCAGGCTGGAGTGCAGTGAGGTAATCATAGCTCATCGCAGCCTCAACCTCCTGAGCTCAAACAATCCTCCTTCCTTGGCCTCTAGAGTAGCTAGGACCCATATGTGTGTGCCGCCACATTAGGCTAATTTCCCTTATATTTGTAGAGCTAGAGTCTCACTGTGTTTCCCAGGCTAGTCTTGAATTCCTGGCCTCAAGTGATCCCTCTCCTCAGCTTCCAAAAGAGCTGGGATTACAGATATGAGGATTCTAAGTGGGGAATCTGAGGCACCGTCATGCCTCACGGCAGACACCTGGAACTCTTGAGGTCACCCCCCAGGTGACCTCTATTCTACCTGCAGTGGCCATGCTGGGTGGCTTTGATCCACCTGCTGAGCCAGTGGCAAGAGAAGCTAAGACTTATTATAACATGAAAGTTGTCCATGTGGGGGCTTAACACCTCCTTCTGTACATTTGGTTCCACGTTTCCTCAGCAAAGGGTGAAAACACTTTGAAAGGCTTTATTTCAGTAGCTTCTCTGTTGGCTCTATGATTAGACTTGATTGGAAGACAGAGTAAAATTCCTTTCATCCAGGGACTGGCAAGATTTGTTTTGCCCTATTAGAATCAGAAAGACAGGGCTTCATGCCACTCTTCATAAATGTGTCTACATCACAGGAGGCATACAGGATAACTGCAGTTCATAAGTTAGCATAAGCAATACATCCAAGTCCAAGACTATCAGGCCTGTTGAGAAAAGTGGGGCCAGTGGAAATCCCCCAGGCGGACACCATGTAATGATCCGCCTTCCTGTTCATCACATGGGGCCAAGCACATGGGACACCCTTGGCAATTGTTGAGTGCTCCAACTGTGCTGAGCAGAGGTGGGAGGCTATCTTTCGAGGGGCACATTCAATATCCCTGAGAGCCAAAGAGCATCCAGTTAATGGTCACTTACTCACAAACAGTAGGGAAGGACAGACCCACGAAGGCACTGGAGAGATATTCTGTGTACATTTCATTTGAGACTCCTTCCAAGTAGTATTTCTGCCACGTGTCTTCCTCAATCTAAAGGAAAGGAACACATGCGGAGAGTTTAAAATATGGCGGTGGTCTATAAAAGGGAAACCTGAGTTATACTCTCAGGCAAACAAATGAATGCACTAATTAGAAGACAGTGACCTTTTCAGCAGTCAGGAACACCTCTGCACCCACAAAAAGCCTTTGATGACCTTAAACTCATTAAGTGTATGCCCTCTGAAACATCACTTCTTTTCTTAACCTGCATGATTTCTTTCATTTTATTTATTTATTTGTTTAGACAGGGTCTTTATTTGTTTAGACTGCACCAGTCTGGAGTGCAGTGAATCATAGCTCACTGCAGCCTTGGACTTCTGGACTAAGGCAATCCTCCTGCCTCAGCCTCTGGAGTAGCTGGGACCATAGGTGTGCATCACCATTTCTAGCTGTTTTTTTTTTTTTTTTTTTAGAGCCAGGGTCTTGCTATGTTGCCCAGGCTTGTCTCGAACTCCTGGTCTCAAGTGATGCTCCTGCTGCTTCTTCCCAAGGTCCTGGGACTGCATGTGTGAGCCACTGTACCCAGTCTTTAATCTGTATGACTTCTAATGGTGTGGAGACATGGGCACTCACCCACAATATTAGTGGGCAAGGAAATTGATACAACTGTTTTAAATTATTATCAAATTGTTTGTTATTATCAAAATTACGGAAGTACATAGTCCTTTACACAACAATTCCATTTTAAGTATTCATAGCAAAGAGACAAGAAAACAGAGGTAAAAGAACATATAAGAACATCCTTCTATTCATGAAAAAATGGAAATAACCATAAATGGTATACATGCAATGAATACTAAGAAGCAATTAAAAATTATAATGAAAATGTATACCTGTTCATAGAGAAATTCTGTAAAAAGGCACATTATAAAATAGTGTGTCTAATCTGATTCTATTTTTTTATTGCCCTATAGTTATCTGAATGTTTTTAAAGTCATAAAAAAAATCTAGAAAGCTTTATATCAAAACACTAACAGTTGTTCCCTCTGAGTGTTAGAATGATACTTTTTTTCCTCTATAGATTCCTCTCTTGTCTGAAGGCTTTTATAATGAACATGTATATATCATAATGAAACAGTGTATTTCTACTTTGCACAAAACGAGATTTGTCCGACCCCACAAGGAATATGACCCAAAGTAAAATGTAGTAGTTTCAGAGAGATCTTGCTCCAAATTTCAGTAAAGTATGCATTTTTTTCTAAGTAGTAAACGTTAGTTGGTTTTCCCTCTTCACTCAACATCTCTGGAAGGATTTTACAATGGAGTCGATCTTTTTTTTTGAGACAGAGTCTTGCTCTGCCACCCAGGCTGGAGTTCAGTGGTAGGATCTCAGCTCACTGCAATCTCTGCCTCCTGGGTTCAAGAGATTCTTTTGCCTCAGCCTCCTAAGTAGCTGGAATCACAGGTGTGTGCCACCGCGCTCATCTAATTCTTGTATTTTTGGTAGAGACAGGGTTTCACTATATTGATCAGACTGGTCTTGAACTCCTGACCTCACATGATCCAGCCTTGGTCTGCCAAAACGCTGGGATTACAGGCATGTGCATGCCACCTCGGCCAGCTTACAATGGAGTCAATCTTTAGAAACTGGTGAATTACAAGGAGAATGTTGAGCATCTTTGGGAGCTTAGGGATCTCACAGGCTTCCTTGAGGGAAGGAGGGCAAGCTGTGTCTTTGGCTGCAGCCTTTCAGGCTTCCCTTCCAGTGGGGGTTTGGGTAAGAGGAAGATGAGAAGAAGCCACCACGCCAACAGGAAGTGACTCTTTAGAACATCTGGTGCTGATCTTGTATTAAAAGGCATCTTGCCTGCAGCCAGTCAGTTAACTGGGAGAAATGCAACACATGGATCAGAAGGAGACCTAGAAACAGTGGGAAAAGGACACTCTATCATCTGCTTGATGACGCTCTGGCATACAAAACCAGAAAAAAATTTAGAAATAAACTGAATGCTTTCTGGCTCTGTGCTTTTTGTCTGTTTTTTTTTTTTTTTTTTTTTCTTTTTTTTTTTTTTTTGCTCAGTCTGGGTGATTAGATCATGTAGGTTAACCTCATTAGTTTGAGCTGCTTCCAGCCTACTCCCACAGGTTAGGTATTAGCTAGGCAGTGCTGCTGGGTATGAGCTGTTTATCTACAAATTGGCCTTCCCTAGACTGGGGTCTTTAAAAAAAAAAAGTCACTCAACCATTTCTATTGCTAAATAGTATGATTTTAAAATTAACTGCAATGTGTTTAGCTGAGCATGAGCTTTTTAATTTCTCCAAACCACAATATCTCAATATTTTTTTTCCAATAAAAGATATGCTTCACTTATAAGCAAAGGTCACTAACTCTAACTAATTTGAAGAAAGCCTAGTCTGCCTTAGTAAAACATGTTGGAATATAGAATATTTGGGGAATAGTATTAGCATAATTTGTTTTATTAATGAACGGGATACTACAAGAGGTATCACTAATTATAAATCCTCGTACTAGAGCCTTAGAGCAAATGGTATTCCTGAAGTAAAACAATTCAGCCTATTCTTTTTACATGTGTTCTTTTATGATTTAATTTAAATACAGCAACTGGCAATCAAAAATAATGAAAATATAAACCTTTATTATTGATCGTTGGTGGTATTCCTCAATTAATATGGTTTTAACAAGGTGCTTTTAGTTTTGGTCAGAATTTTCATGTCTTTATGTCTTAATGAAGCTATTCTTTAGACCAAATTTTTGTTTTTGTTTTTGTTTTTGAGACGGAGTTTCGCTCTTGTTACCCAGGCTGGAGTGCAATGGCGCGATCTCGGCTCACCGCAACCTCTGCCTCCTGGGCTCAGGCAATTCTCCTGCCTCAGCCTCCTAAGTAGCTGGGATTACAGGCACGTGCCACCACGCCCAGCTAGTTTTTTGTATTTTTAGTAGAGACGGGGTTTCACTATGTTGACCAGGATGGTCTCGATCTCTCGACCTCGTGATCCACCCGCCTCGGCCTCCCAAAGTGCTGGGATTACAGGCTTGAGCCACCGTGCCCGGCCTAGACCAAATTTTTTTGTACATAAATCACGAAACTTTTTTTTTTTTTTGGAGACAGAGTCTCACTCAGTCACCAGGCACCAGGCTGGAGTGCAGTGGCGTGACCTCGGCTCACTGCAACCTCCGCCTCCTGGGTTCAAGCAATTCTCCTGTTTCAGCCTCCCGAGTAGCTGGAACTACAGGCGTGAACCACCATGCCCAGCTAATTTTTTTGTATTTTTAGTAGAGGCGGGGTTCCATCATGTTGGCCAGGATGGTCTCGATCTCTTGACCTTGTGATCCAACCGCCTTGGCCTCCCAAAGTGCTGAGATTACAGGCGTGAGCCACCATGCCTGGCCGAAACTTTTTAAATAAGAAGGAACATCTTCTTTGTAGGATAACAATATTATTCATGTTTGTTTTGAATTTAGCAAAAATCATTTTATTGATTCATTAACATTCATTCAGCAAATATTAATTGTGCATATTTTTCATCTTAAGATCTGTTCTAGTTTCTGATTAAATCGACACTGGTATTTACTTCCCATATTCTTCTCTTTGCTGGAGGAAGCACCAGATGTATCTGACTATGATATATCTGACCACATATGTCTTTTAGTGATTTTTCCATATCTTTTTTCCTGCAAGTTTGCCTTTGTGGCTAATCTGAAGTGCTTGAGGTCCGAAAGTCAAATAACTGAAAAACAGTACAGAACGTTCTAGAAAGCAAAATACCTCTTCGACATCCTTGTGTAGACCTGCAGATAGTCTCTATACACTATCTGTATAGAGATATACAGATATCTACACTATCTAGACCTGGTAGCATCGAATCAACTGAGTAAATGTTGGGGAGTTTAGATCCGTTGCCATAGCCATCTGTGTAAGATTTCCACATCTTTAACACTATTTCCATATGGACAATCAATATGTTTTTGAGGTTTCTGGTCAAGGAATTTCACTTTAAAAAGAGTCTTTTTTAAAATTGCTAACTGAATTACACTGTCATCTTTTCAAGCAATGTATGTAGTTGGTGGGAATGTAAAGTGGTACAGCCACCGTGGAAAACGGTATGGTGGTTACTCAAAAAAATTAAACATAGAATTACCATAGGATTTATAATTCCACTTCTAGACATATAGCTCACAGCAGCATTACTCCTAATATCCAAGAGGTGGAGGCAGCCCAGGTGTCCATGGACAGATGACTGGATAATCAAACTGTGGTGTATTTACAATGGAATATTATTCAGCCTTTAAAAAGAAGAAAATTCTGACACATGCTACAATATGGATAACCCTTGAAGGCATTATGCTAACTGGAATAACCCAATCACAAAAAGGGCAATGATGTTATGATTTCACTTATATGAGGTACCTAGAGTCCTCAAATGCATAGAAACAGAAAGTAGAATGTTGGTTGCCAGGATTTGGAGGGAGAGGGAATGGGGAGTCACTGTTTAATGAGACAGAGTGTCAGTTTTGCAAGATAAAGAGGTCTGGAGGTGGATGGTAGTGATGGTCACACAACCACGTGAATGTATCACTGAACTATATGCTTAAAAATAATTAAGATAGTAAATTTTGTATGTGTATTTCACCACAATTAAAAGAATTTTAAAAACCCTTATGTATAACATAAGAGCAGGAGAATCAGTAACTATAATTAATACTAGGACCATTTAATTCTTAAGTCATGCCAGAACAAGGACAGGAATTGGTGGATCACATCAGACGAGACAGGAGTGAGAACCCAGCGTCATGACATCTAGCGCATCACAAACTCAGCAACAGAACTTCGATCTTCATACCTACTCAAGGGCTGAAATTATAACCTCCTATCCACATCACTTTTCTGAGTCTGGAGTGTGGTATCTTTGACTTTCTTTGGAAAAGCAAAAACAAAAGTGTACATTTCTCATACAATGTATTCTTAAGACAGAAAAACAAATCAGTGTAAAATACATTTAATTTAAATCCTTGGTCACACCTGTAATCC